TGTGCACATATGATTCACGAAAAACATGTCACATATGCACATATATGCACATCACATTTCCCCGTCCACTCTAATCTGCACCACAATATCGCCGTCTTACGCCAGAAATGCGAGATGACATAATACTTCTTGCTGCAAGCAATGTACACACTGGATCAATTATTAATGTACTAGCACGCAAATATCCGAACAACTATATTCACTCACGTAATGTATACAATATCGTTCAAACAATAAGGGCAGAAAAGGGAAAATTAAGCGATGCAGGAGCTACGTATAGAGAGTTAATGCGTCTAAAACAGGAAGAGCCCGGTTGGTATGTTGATGCAAAGTTCGAAGGAAGTGATAATCATCTTGCAGGACTTATTTGGTTACATCCTAAACAAATTGAGATTTGGAGTCATTTTCATGATGTTATTTTATTCGACACGACTTGTAAAACCAATCGGTTCAATATGATTATGTGTGTCGTAGTTTGCGTAAACAATCATAATCGGTCTTGTCTCACTGCAACAGCTTTAATTTTAGATGAACAAAAAATAACATTTGAATGGATTCTACAAGGTTTACTTAATGCAACAGGTGGATTAGCACCTAAAGTTGTCTACACAGATGCAGATCCGGCTATGACAGGTGCAATTGAGAATGTATGGTCTAGTACAAAACATTATTTTTGTTTATTTCACATACGAAAAAACCTTGAAAAGCATTTCCTTTCCAAGTTTGGTAGAGAAAAGTTTAAGGCTTTTTTTTCAGGCTTTTGCCAGGCACGCAATAATACCACGGAAACTACTTTTGAAAAAAAGTGGAAAGAAATCTTAGATAATTACTCTGAAGCACAATACTACTTGGAACATCAGCTTTATCCTCACCAGGAAGCGTGGGTTCTTGCCTTTACGCATCGTTTTTTCAATTGTGGTATACAGTCAACACAAAGAGTTGAAGTTTATAATGCTATTCTTAAGAAATTATTAAATGGAACAAGGTCATTAATGGAAGTCGTGAATACTATTGAATGACATCTAGTAAGAGAGTCTGAATTTGTAAGACTTAATGAAACAGCTTGTGAATTACCACGCATCATGCTTGCATCATATCGGGACCATTATTTTATGGCAATTGACAAAGTTTGTGAAAGATTTCTTACACCAGCTATACTAAAACTTCAACGTTATCAAATGACCAATGTGTACACTACTGACCTTATTGGACAAATCTGGAGGCTGAGTTATGACAGCAAGAGAATTATGAAGTGGTATATCCTAAATGTTGATATTTAGTGTTTTTTTTTTAAATGAAGTTCGCACTTATATAACATAATGCAAATATTTATTTGGATTGTTGGTTTAACATTAGCTTTTTTAATTTTATTTAGAACACACCAGAAAACATGTTTAGTGAAGACTTATACGACGAAATGCTCATTGAACTAAATGAACTTCTCCATGGTATACCAGGAACGAATGTAATGAGTGTATACCAGGAACGAATGTAATGAGTGTATGGTTTATACGCTGTTTGGAGTGGGATTTGTCCGCAAAATCTTAAGT